AGGGCGCCGCAGGCAGCGGAGGGGTACAGGTCGTAGCAGGACATCTTGTAGGGGTTGGAGGTCAGTGGGTACTGAGGAGTGAGCAAAAGGCAGAAATTCAACTGTTAAAATATTTCACAGTTGGACATGCGGAGGAAAATAATTGTTATGTCTCAAGTCTTGGTTGTCCTTCCTTCTCATCAGTGTTTTTGTAAATTACTCGCTCTCTGACCTGTCATCTCTCCTGAGGTCTCATTCCGAATTTCTTGTACTTCATTCCCACCCATAGAAAATTCTTATTGGGTGATCAAACCTTCTGCAAGGTTTTGGATGCTGCTTTGCTTCTAATTCAAATTTTTTCTAATTTCTACTAAGAACAAAGAATTTCTACTAAGAACAAAGAATGATTTTACCATTTTGAACTTATGAATGCCCAGCACCAACTGAAAAGAAAACCATCACAAAATAGCCCAATTATTTAGAATCTTAGAATCCTTATGGATTGTCCCAACCTTGATTAACACCAGCAGAAAAGAGAGACTGGAATTTTCCAAGGGAAAATTTCCAAGGGAAGAAGTCCCTTAGAAGGGTGCTTACCTTTCTCAAGGAGCTGAATGAAGCGAGGAAGGCGAAGTGAAGAGCCCTGGGTTGGGAGAGCTTTTATACCATTCCCGAGATCCTGGGGAACATCCAAGGTGCAATTTGGGGATGTCCATAATTGGGACAAACGCCAAATGAATGCGACACGTAGCTCCTCAAAGTTCTGCTGACTCTTTGTTTATTTGCTGGTCCGAAGTCTCGTGAAATGTGATAGGTGTGTTTCATCACTGAGCCCTCTTTCATCTGGAATGGTGACAAGTCATCCTCATTCCTGTTATCATTCCATTCACAGCCCTGGCGTTACAGCAGGAATTATCCCAACGCTCTTCCAGAGCTTCTCCATTGTTTAATGGCAAAACCTGTCTGCTCGCTTGGGGTCACCTCATGCGCGGAGTTTTTTTTCCATTAAAAAAACAAAATACCTGGAGAAAAAATGATTTAGAGCAACTTTGGGGTGGTAATTTTTATTATTATTATTCTGTGCTTAATGCGAGAACAATATGGAACTCAAAGGAAGGCATGGAAATCATCCTGTGGTCCTTAAAAGGTTTTTGTTACAGAATCTTGGAATTATTTGGGTTGGAAATGACCTCCAAGACCATCAAGTCCAAGCTGTTACTGACCCAAGGTCATTCCCTGTTTTCCTGTCCCTTGTTCCCTGGGACCAGAGCCTGTGGTTGCCCCATCCTTGGAATTGTTTTTGAATAAAATATGGTTCATGAATTTCTGGGTTTTATTCAGAATTTTTTATTTCAAATTCTTTTTCATTGGGAAAAAATCTGAAGGGGCATAAACCTCCAGTATTTGCCCTTGAACTGATGATACCAAGGACACAAATATCTTGACTGAGATGCTTGAATGTGATGTAATTTCATAATTGTGAGGCGCCTAAATCCAGCTCTGTGCCTTTAATCTACTGGATCATCAATAGGATTTGCATGGACTTGCTCCCTGGAAGCTTGAAAATATTATTGTTCAAAAGCCCCTGTCCCCCAAAGGCTCAGAACCCCACCTCAACATTTAGGGATCACCTTCGGCGTGGAGTCTGCAATATTAAAATGGCCCACCCATAAACGAGGCAAGAAGGAGCCTTTGTGTCGCACGTTCCAAATTCCTGATTGTTCCTTCACCCCAGAAATTTCCAGCTCAGCCCTTTTTGGGATTTATGACTTGTGTATCATAGAAGCTCATGAATTCCTAAGAACACGAGGCAATAATTCAAAGCATTGCGTCACATTTTGACTTTTGCACCAGAGGATGCATTTTTTCCTAAAAAATCCCACGTTTCCTCAGGCCCATTCAATGCTCTCAGGTGCCACCTTTGTCCAGAAAACATCGGACCCTCAACACTTACAAAAGTCTCTTCAGGACCTCCAATCCCTTTGTGGTTTTCGTTAACTTCATGAATTCATTCCATGTTTATCTCCCAAACCCAAACAAGCATCAGGAGGACAAAGGTTCCTCTTGGTCTCCTCCACGGAACTCTGTGGACGTGGCCAAAATTAAGGATTTCACTGTTTTTCCTGCTTAGAACTAAATTCTGGTGGAATTTGTGATTCCGATGAACCCATGAGCCACTCTCCAGGTATTCAGTTCATACCAAGAGGAGCTGGCTTGGTGATTCCTGATGTAATTCCAAGGAAGTGACAGGAATAATGTGGGGTGTTAATCTCCCCCCAGTTCGTCACAAGATGAAAGAATTCTCTATAATCTCAGGTGATGCTTAGATCATTATTACAAACAAATTTGGAAGGCCTCATAAAAGCCAATAATGAACCCAACAATTTCATCATCCTGATGGTTGCATGAATTTGAAATTGGGGCGGGCAAGAGATGCTGATCTGGTACCTCCAGCTGATATAAAAGCTCCTCTCTCTCCTCGCTCCTCCAAACACTTCCCTTGACTTCTTGGAGACTTGGGTAAGTCTGAATCTTCTCTGTTGCTCTTGGTGTATTTTTTATTGTTGGTTTCAACTCCAGTTGATGTCCAACATCCTTTCTGTTGGGTGCATCTGCATGGACTTGGGAAAGATCAAGGACCTTTCTGTCTTTTTGGTGTGTGGAGTTCTTGGTGTCAGGAACTCCAGACCTTGGGGCAACAGGACAGTGCTCTGGGTCAACTGAGGTGGCTGGATCTCCTTCCCTATAGAGCCAAGCTGGGAGAGCTGGGAATGTTCAGCCTGGAGGAGAGGAGGTTGTGTGGAGACCTCAGGATCTGCAGGGGTTCTGGGGAAGCTGGAGAGGGACTTCCCTCAGGAGCAGCAGGGACAGGACACAGGAAATGGGGTCAGACCGAGAGGGGAAATTTAGGTTGGATATTGGGAAGAAATATTTCCTTGTGAAGGTGGGGAGGCCCCCATGCTTGATATTCCAAGGATTCTCCAGCCCTGGGAGTGTCGAGAGTCAGTTGGGACGAGGCTTGGAGCAACCTGGAATAGTGGGAGCTGTCCCTGGCCATGGAGGGGCTGGGACTGGATGATCTTAAGGGTCTCTTCCAAACCAGGCAAGGTTCTCTGTTTAGCTCTAAATAACCCTGCAAAGAGCTGAGAGTTGGATTTGAGCCTTTTGAGTCACTTCCAGCTTGAGGAAGCCTGTGATTCTCTGATCCTCATTTTGATACGTTTAACCCATCTCAACATTTGCATAAAAGGTTCAGGGTTTGACGAGGGTGCCACCCCTGCAGCCGTTCACTCATGATAAAGCCATTTGTGCCTTGCTGACACAAATCCTCAGGCTCTCCTTCACCTTCTTGCTTTCAAGTTCCTCCTCAGAACTCTGTTAAGGATTTAAAGAACATCCTTGGAGATTTGTTCTTTATTGTCTTGTCAAATGCCTTTCTGGGAAAGCCGGGCGCTCACAATCCTATAATCTGTTGTTCCCTTGACTCTCAGCAAAATTGGGATGAGTGGGAAGATGAAGCTACTGTAATTAAGTTCTCTATAAGCTCCATCTCATGCAAACCTGCTGAACCCAAATCTGAGTTTTCCTAATGACTCATCCAATGACCTTGGACAAAGTCACTTTGCTCTCGCTGCTTTTGCTTCCGAGATTTCAGTTTAATGTGGAGAAATCATTCATAGTTTTCTGCAGGATGTTACAAGGGACAAGGTTTTTAGGACATTTCCCACTTGCTCTTGTGAGTGGACACCCTTTGGAAAATTTTTGAAAAATTGTGAAAAAATTTTGAAAATGCTTTCTGAAAAAAAGAGAGCACTGAGATTGCAAAGTACCCAGAACACTCTACTTGTTATTTTAATTCAAATTTCCTAATTTTGAACTCCTTGCCTTCTTTTTCAGCCTGTGTTGACCTCCAAGCCCTACAAGATGTCCTGCTACGACCTGTACCCCTCCGCTGCCTGCGGCGCCCTCCGGCCCCAGCCCCTGGCTGACAGCGGGAACGAG